AACATACCTAGCAAATGGCATGCAGCACAGTACCAGCTTTGTGCAGATTGTTGTTTTGGATGCAGCCTTACGGGACAGAGGACTCCGGCAACCATAGTTCTGCTCCAGAGGCTTTCCTGCAGTGTGGTTTTATAGCTATTTTAAGCAGGTATAGCTATTTTAAGCATTGTCGGTTACAGGCAAGGCGCTGTAAGAGCTTCTGCTGGACCGCGTTTTATGCCGTTACCTAGGCGAGGCCAGAACCTCAGAGGGCAATGTTGTCATCCGTGATTTCATTGAAACCGTGCCAGTGAAGTCCCTGCTGATGAAAGAGGCAGGACTGCAAGCCACAAGGTGGCACAGCCGGTGTTGCCAACTTTTCCCAGGTCCCCATGACTTAAGAAAAGTGTTTTTTTTTTAAAAAGCCATGTATCTGTTCTAATGAGTTTCCATGTTTAAAAGCTCTCTGCAAATAAATAGAGTTGGTCCTCCACATTTGCAGGAGTCTGGGGCTCAGGACTGACTGGTGCAAAAGTAGTAAAGCTAGAAATCTCTCTAGACCCCCCCTCCCCTCCAGCGCAAACCTTAATTCTTAATACCGTTGACCCATCCATGCGTCTCTCTGAGAAGCTCTCCCTCTTTTCCCCCTTGCATCTTCTCTTTCTACGCGGATGGCAGCTTTCTGCAGTAGGCCACGAAACTCCAAAAACCCCCTCCCATTTAATGATTGATGGCAAACCCATGAATAATCACATTTGTAAAAGTCAGACCCATGGAAGTAGCGATTCGACTGTATAACGGGGGGCAGGGACATGCTGCCCGTCTGTGGAGAATTTGCAGATCATGGGAAGAACTGCGCCACGGCTGTGTACAGGTGCAGTGGGGGAACCTTAAAAATGCAAAGGTACAGAGAGCTCCGGCTGCTCGGGAGCCTAGAAATTGAATAAATAAATACGGTAGTCCACAGACTTACCAACCTATTAATCCTATTCTAACACTGTTAGAAAGTGTTTTGAGAACCGCTGGCTTAAAAACAAGCCTCTTCTGCAAGCTTCATGACTTTATCGGAGGAGGTGAGGGCAGGCTGCAGGGTTCACTCAGTTCACGCCGTCTTTGTCACTTTTCGTACAGAGGAGTCAGAGGGTTCAGGGCAGCCGCATGCCAGAGTCCTCTGCCTCTTCCTTCCCCGCTGCGTGTGGTTTGCATTCAGAATGGCATGAGCGGCGGCTGCTGCTCATGCACCGTGAGCGTCAGAGCTTGCTGGCGTGTTCTTCACGTCTGCAGCTTGGGCATCTGAGATGGATGAGGGATGTGAACATGCCGGCTGGGGGGCAGAACGTGTTGAATTAGGGCACCACAGCGTTCAGATCCCAGGACCCGCCTAGCATTCCACCGGTGCTTTTCCTATGGTAGGAACAACTGGTGGTACTGAAAGAAAGCCATCCTAGCTGGCTGAACACCCAAGGGCTAGCTGGGGTTGGTTCTTGGCCTGTCGGGGTAAGGGCCACCTCAGTTCTAGGTTGGCCTGGAACCAAGGTTATACTCTCTTTGGTGTCAATTTAAGGCATTCCACTCCGCCTCCGATTGTTGAAATCATACAATAAGGTTTTCAATGGCTCTTGGGATTCACTGTTCATTGTTTTGAAATGGTGATGTTTTTGTACATTGTTTTTATGTATGTTAGGGTTTTAATGTTTGCAAACCTTTCGGAGAGTTGTGGCTGTTGGGTAGTATAGAAAAGTAATCCATGAGAGGCAAGCTGGAGATCCTGGTTCAGAGATGATGCTAAGGAGGCAACAGACGGGGGTCGCCCAGTCTGCATAGCCTCTTCTGCTGGCCGGAGGAAGAGTTACGGGGGGACGACAGAGACAGCTGAATGCGGGCTGCTGGTATGTTTGCTCGTCCACAGTAAGCCAGCAGGTTCAGTGGTTCCAGCCGGCCACAGCATGGGAACTGGCCCAGCATTTTGTCATTTCTGCATACGCAATAATGCGTTGTGTCCGTGTGGTTCCTTATAATGACTTCGCTGGAGACTACTGTGAACATGGCCTGGTGTCCGCTTTTGCAAAGGATGGTCTTCTGTTTGAAGTGCTACTGGAGGACTACCTTGTATTTTAGGCACTCTCTGTCTGAAGGACTGCTCCTGCCCAATTTATTCCATAGGTACAGTGGCCCACCAACCTCCAAGTGCAGGCTGGACAGGCAGGAATGTAGGTTCTAATAAGTAATGTCTAAATTTGCATTGTGCATGTAAATTAGCATATGCAAGTCTAATGCAAACCAGTGTTGTATTTTCCCCCTCTTTTTATTGAAGCAGTCTCTTTTTGGAGATTCATAAGCAGCCACCTGAACTGTTGAGGTCAGTGCTCGGTGGAGTCAAGGAGGTTCTGAGTATTTTAATTTATTTATTTCTGGGTTCTCTGGCCAACTTACAAAATATAACCAACCAATTTAAAGGCCTCTGCTAACACAAAAAACTGTTTTATAAAATAGTAGTCACGTAATTGTACATTAAGGGAAAGCGTTAACATCATAGAAATCAAGTGATAGATAACAGGCTTAAATAAAATTTCCAGAGAATAAAATAGCTACATTAAAAACACAGCATAATGCTTCTTGACCTTTTAACACTCCCATATAGAAATGGCCATTTGAGGCCAGGGGAGTCTCTAAGAAATATAAGCTCTTGGCAAAAAAAAAAAAAAAAATAAGACTGAGACCTCAAGGACAAGAGTGTGTGAGCATGTATATGTTTTCTGCCAGCACTGTGCTTTCGTTTATTTATTTTAAATAAAGGGTTCTTTCGGAGGACAGTAAATTGGTATGACAGCCACATCTTCCAGCAGTCTTGTTACCTTCCAGTGATTCACTTTCAGTTGCTCTTTTACACAGTGTATGTGTCTCCTTGAGCCGGCTTTTCGTTCTTTCTGCAACTTTAAAGCAGTGGCAGGTGGATCTCGCGATGGCTGGTTTTTTCTTACTAGGGTAATTGGACCCTGGTGCAGAAGATGCACCCTGGCAATTGAAGCATTTTGACTCCAGCCGTTTTTTGCTTCCCCTCTTGGTACTTTGTGAGAGTACCTTACCTTCTGGTTCATGCCACCTCTTGCCCCTTTATGGTCCTCAGTGCCGTCTTCTCCACTATGTTAATCGATCCGCATTGCTGTTCATCTGTTTCTTAAAAACCAGTTTCCATACCTCATGGCGACAGAGGAAAACGGGGGAATTTCCATGTGCTCCTTCACCATCCTTGCCCTCTTTATAGCCGCCTTGTTTGTCATGGTGCTTCAAAATGGTAAACATGAACCCTGGAAGAAAAATGAGCAGAATCTAGCAAAACACTTGTGTGGGTAACTTGCAGAAGCTGCTACTGTCGGATGTTGCCCGGTTGCTAACTGCAGAATGATACATCACTTTGGTTCTCTACTGCGTAGTTAATAAATGAATTCATTTTCTTCTAGAAAAGCCGGGCAAAGCCAACATGTGAACCTAGGTATTTTCCAAGCACCAAAACACCTTCTGCTGTTACTTCCTGGCCCCGCAGACAGTTTGATGGTCTCTCTCTTTCTCGGTATCAGATTGTGTATGACCATATGTAGGCCTTTCTTGCAAGTTTATTGCTGTGCTGGGTAGCATCCTAGTTCAAAGGATTTATATTTTAAATCTTGATTCTGATGGGATCCATTACCACCTAAGGATGCCAGCCAATACCACGTACGCCTGTTGAATGGCTGCAGTCCATTGGAGGGTTTGTGTGATGTTCTCTTATACAGACCTTCTCCTGGTTGGTTGGTTGGTTGGTTACTTGGTTTATAATACTTCTATAACACTTACAGCACAATCTTAAGAAAACTTAGACAGGCGAGAAGTCCCAGAGAGCTCCAGCTGGCCTGAACATGCTGAGACCTTTGAACCTTTTTCCTGTCTAAATGTCATCCTATTGTGCCCTAAAACTTTGAGACTACAGAAGGGATGAAGAAAGTAAAAGCACCTAAGGACATATAAAAACATAGCAACATCATAACAATTAAGTAGGGTATCAACAACATATCAGGGAAGGCCTTTGTGCATAGGTTGTCTTTCAAAAGGTATTTAAAACTTGCTGCACTTTCTGCCTTTTGAACCACGTGTGGGTCAAATTCCAAAGGCTGGGTGTCTCTCTTTTCCCCTCTGATAAAACTCTCCCCTCTGGTTTGAAACTGCCTGGGGGCGGCTTTAGGAGAGACAGCAGGAAGCATCTGCTTGGGCAGTGCATGAGCGCTTCTTTGATTACCTGCTTACGTGCCATCGCTGAGCAACACCTCATTGGCAGCGAGGGAACCACGAGGGGCTCCTCAGAGGTTCTTGGGGTGTCTTATGGCCAAGCTCTTCAATAAAGTCTAACCGTGGATCACTAGATTGCTCGTGAGAATCCATTCGCTGCATACTGCTTTAGTAAAGAATTCCTCTTCCCCTGTGGCTTTGTCATCTGGTCTTTATCATTTCATTTCAAAGCCACCCTGAAAATATTTTTATTGATTGTCAGCATGGGAGGTGCAGAGCAACATCTGGAGGACCACCTGTGCGAAAACGTGAAACAACCTTTGAACATATGATTGTGCTTTTATTTGATCGGGTTTGCTTGCCTGAAATGTTCAGGAAGGCTACACAGAAATTGAAAGACAGACAGACAGACCTGGCTGTCTGACAATAACTGCAGCTAGCCACAGAACAGTGTCAATAACACTGTGAGTCTAGCTGTGTGATAGTGGCTTCTGCCCAGCTCCTTTCCTTTCCTTTCCTTTCCTTTCCTTTCCTTTCCTTTCCTTTCCGTTCCGTTCCGTTCCGTTCCGTTCCGTTCCGTTCCTTTCCGTTCCTTTCCGTTCCTTTCCTTTCCTTTCCTTTCCTTTCCTTTCCTTTCCTTTCCTTTCCTTCTCTTTTCCAAACGTTCCAGACCTCGTTTGTCTCGCATGGTCCAGGTACTTTAGTTCCACTTGGGAGCACCAGCTCAATGGCTCTGTGTCTGTCCTTTCATTCTGCAGCAGCAGCAGCAGCAGCAGCAGCAGATGCCCCGTAGCAGCCAAGACGAGAAAGATGAAAAAGAAAAAGAGAAAGACATGGAGAAAGAAGAAGAAAAGCCAGAAGCTGAAAACGAAAAAGACGAGCTGACAAAGTAAGTCTGGCCACTTGCTCTTGTTCTCTGATTTCTAACCCACCCCATTAGCTGTACGGCTCCCCAGGTGGGTTGCAGCAACTAGATACTTTTCCTCCCTTCAAGGAGCCACACGAGTGCCAGCCCAGCACCTGCTGACTGGCTTGGTCTTCAGGGCCTCCGAGGTGCTGGGAAGAAGCATCCCCCTCTCCAAAAATTGGCTGTCGGAATCCAGGCTGAAGTCCCAGTCCCAGGTGGCGCTTTGTAGCACCACAGCGTGCCGTTCCCCAGCCGACTGCTCCCCCTATAATTTATTTATTTATTAGTTATTAAAACATTTTTATGCCACCCCATTCGCCGAAGTCTCGGGGCGGCTTACAACCAATAAGTTAAATCATCATCACATTTTAAAATATATACATTAAAAGAAATTACAAATATACAATATAAAATAAGCCGCCCTGGCCAGAATAATATTAATATTAACATTTAAAATAAGGTGGACTAACCTTCAGGCCCAGAGACGGTGCTCCACGCTGAGCAATGATCACACTGGCAGGCTAAACATTTGAAGGGCGCCAGGCCGCAGGAGGCTGAGGCAGTGGAAATATTGAGCCGCTGTGAGTGCAATTGTGGGAGAAAGGCAGGGGATGCATTTCCTAAATACAGTAATCTGGACATGGCCCTTGCTTTATGGATTCCCTATCCTGCCTTCACAAGGAAACTGTCCTATGCTGAGTCAGACCATTGGGCTGTCCAGCCCAGGGTTGGCTTCTCTGAACTGCTGCCGTTCTCCAGCTAACCAAGATCCTTTTTAATGGGGGGATGCCAAGGATAGAAACTGGGGCGATGCTCTGCTGTGGAGCTACACTTCCCCATCCCCTATTTTTCTTTTGCCCTCTGCTAAAACTAGCTCTGGTTTGAAACTGCTTGGTGGCGGCTTTAGGAGAGACAGCAGGAAGCATCTGCTTGGGCAGCGCATGAGGGCTTCTTTGATTGACTCACCGAATCTGCTGTCCTGAAGCTGTGGACTCTGGCTTAGGTGCCATGGGAAGGAGATTGGACCGGGCCACAGAGGACGGCGCTGCCCATGGCTGTCGGCCATAATAGTGAAAGGGAACCTTCATCTTCAGAGCCAGTTAAATCCCATGGCTGGGGGTGGGCAGGGGTGGGGAAAGGCTCTGCGGAGCTGCCACCTTCCTGCCCTGTGGTGGACCTACAGACAGGTGGGCAATATCAGTTCCAGTCTTAGAAAATGACAGTACGCGGGCAGCCGCTTGGGTTGATGAGCCTCTGACTGGATTTCAGGGCAGTTCTTCCTGAGGGCCTCGTGTGTGCGCTTCTTAATGAAAACAACATGGGACAAACCTGGTAGTGTAACACACCAGCACTGACAGTATCCGTGGGCTTTCCACCGGCATCTGGCTGGCTGCTGCGTATAGCAGGACGTGGGATTGGAGGAGCCTGCGGCATGACTGTGTGCAACTCCTCTTGGGTCTGCCCATGTGCCGTTCCTGCAAAGCTCCGTGCAGCGCAGCCGCACTGTAACGTTTTCTGCCGCGGTGCCATTGCGCCGTTCTGTGCTGGTGTGACAGCGGTGCATCTTGGGGTGTGCACCCGCACGGCAAGGACCCTTAACACCTGTCCTGCCCAGTCGTGCACGGAGGCATTGCAAGGTGCCTGGGTATGCACCGCATCCCCCACCGGACAGGGAAGTGACACAGGCAGCCCTTGGGCGGGAAATTGGGTAACCTGCTCGCCTTTCGCGACTGGGGCTTAATGCTCGGCCTAGAGAAGCATCTGGCTTTGCCGCATTGGGCTCTGTGCGGTGTTCGTCAGCAGGCCCCTTTTGGGAAGATGAATGAGGGGAAGCCGCGATCAGTGGGGGGCCCTGGTGTTCAGCCTGCCTCTGCCAGGTTCCTCAACAGCTGCAGCGAAGAAATTGCAGTCCCTGCAGGAAAAAGAGAGTCAAGTGAGAAAGTGCCTCTTTGCAAGAAGCAGCAGCTGTGAGGAGAGAAATCACTTAAAGGCAGATCCTGATTTTCTGGACCTCCCACTCTGGTGCACGCAGGGAGAAGAACGAAGACACATCCGGCGAGGACAACGATGAGAAGGAAGCCGTCACTTCCAAGGGGCGCAAGACGGCCAACAGCCAGGGCCGGCGCAAAGGCCGCATCACCCGCTCCATGGCCAGTGAAGCCAACAACGAGGAGGTGGCCGCGCCACAGCAGAACGCGGAGATCGGTATGTTCCAGCAGCCTCTGCGGAGCGGGGCGGGAAGGGAAGGGTCATTTGCATATGCAGAGCAGCACATTTTGTTTGCTTGCTTAGACGCATATTTATAGGCCGCCTATAACTGCGGAGGCCTTCCTAGGCAGCCCACGTGCAGATGGCCTGAGCCCACGGAAAGGATTCATCCTAGTGGTGGAAGGGAGATTTATGGATTCGTCCTAGTGGCTGCATTTTAATGTATTCAGAGCATTTATCTGTGACTAGATATCTCCCAACCTGCTCCGCAAGCAACCCAGGGCAGGGAGCAACCCATGCAAGAACAGTTCAGCACACGAGCAACATTAAAATCTTAACTCTAAAATCACGTATGCAAAACGCAGTACTTGTAGTGCATCGCCACAACACCAGGAAACAGAACGCTTGCCTACCTGTGCTGCAAAAGCTTGTGCGGGTAAATATATTTCCTTCCCCTGATGCCTCAGCAGCCACCTGGTGCTGGACTGGGCATGCCCCCCGGGCCAAACTCAGGGAATCCACAAGCAGCAGTGCCTCCCTGAGCAATCTTGAACTAGTCGGTTCTGGGGAAGGTGTGTCTACACACACACACACACACACACAGAGGTCTCTATCAAATCTATCCAAGTAGGCAGAAATTCTTCTAATGAACTAGTTGTTTCTCAGCCGGGCTAGAATATTCATGTCTTCAGCGATTTCTCTGTATGAACATTGTCAAATTTTGCTGTTTTGAGTTCCCTGCTCATCTCTCAGTACGACAATAACACAGTCTCATTTTTTGCATATTCAGAGCATCTGGTAAGACGGGCAAAGCTTTGGCTGGCTAGTGGCGTAGGGATCGTCATTGTCATTACAAAAACATAGGCAGGCATAGAAATAGCTAATGCAGTCTGTGCTGTTAGAATCAGAGAAAGCCAGTTAGAACTTCCTCAGAGGCAGCGTGAGAATGAGTCATGTCAAAATGCAATTAAGAGCCCGATGCAGGGAGAGCTTGAATACCCACCTCCAGGTGGGAAGATGGGACCTGACAGAACTCTACTCAGAGGGTTTCCCACGGTTTTGGCAAACACCACAAACATTATCTCATCTCTCCTGCCCACAGCAATCAGAAATATAGCAAGGACTTCAAAGTAAATTATAAAGTACAGTCAGGTTTTTAAACAAAATTCTAAACAGTAATCTGTGGTGAGGGTGGATATTTCTTTTCGTAGTTTAGGAGGGCTCGGTGGGACAGAGGGGAGAAGATTGGAGGCAAGAATAGTCTTGAAAAGTAATTGTCACTGTGTATTTGCATCTCACTCTGTAAACCTTGGAAGAGTTTACCCCTCTCAACCACTTGGTGGCCTTGAAGTACTGAGAAATACGATCCAGGGAAGTGATATTGTGTGTGTCCTATGCCTGGACTGGAATATATATGGACCAAGACTGCCATTTTAACAGCTTAGTGGACAGATTAACAGATTAATCAACCTAAGATTTAGTTGATTGAGGGTATGGCATAATTTGCAAGTTTTCTTCTGTCTAGGATTGTGCCTTAACTGATGGGGAGCACCTTTGACCATGAATGAGAATTTTAGAATGTATTTGTGCAGGCTTGGCATTTGGTTTCCTAAAATTGAATGCTGCTGCACCGAGGAACATGGTAGATTTATGTCATTAAAGCACAAGGTATCTTAACACTTCTTTCGATGCCCTGTGAAGGTGCCTGGATTGAGATTTTAGTAATAAGTAGATTAATTTAAATTGAACTGACCACTTGATTTGGATTAAAAGCAGATGATTAGTTGACTGAAACTTTTTCCCTTGGTTGTCAGTCTGAATACTCATGTGTAATGTCTCCATTCTACGTACCTCATCAGGCAGCTTTCTCGCTTACTTCTGTAACACAAATATCACACAACATAACACACAGTTTATGGCCATGAAAAAATAATATGATTATCTTTACAAATGAATGTTTGCAACGCTCCTTCTTATTAAAAAAGTTCTATTGAAAAATCTTCGTAATACAAAAATATCCAAATCCGTTCACTGTAAATGTAGAACAACAATCAACTTAGAGGAAACAAGCAAAACTATTGCTCCAAAATAATTTCGGGGCTTAGATATATTTAATACATTTAAATGTACACAATTCATCTTATACTGATCTAAATTAGAGTATCTTGCAAGTTTCTTGATCTGCTTTTAGTTTTTAAAACAGCCTTGTAAAAAAAAGCCCACAGACGTTATAAACCTCCCCCCACCCTCCCCAAATAGCCTGCTAGGAGGCTACCATCTTGCATTTCCACCCTGGCCACAGAGGCGGGAAAGATCTTTGTCCACAGCTAGTATGGGAAAACACAGAACTCTACGCTCTGAGGTTGCCACAGAAATACACACACCCATAAACAGTCATTCACGGAGAGTGTTTAGTTTTAGCCGGGGAGACATGCAGCTGTGAGCTTTCGTTGGCAAGACTCCCCTCCTGCGTCTGCATCAAGGTTATGAAGGAGACAGGATGCCAGCGGAAAATACAGCTGAAAGAAACTTTTCCTGTGGAGCTCCCACCCTCGCTTCTTAGCAACAGCAGTCTTGCAACCATTCCATGGAACACACGCCCAGCAACATGAGGTGGTGGTGTCGATCGTGCCGTCACTTCAGGAGATGCTATACTGGAATCTGTTCCCAAATAATCAAAATAAAGAGCTTAGCAGGAAGACCTCTACGAGAGGTTTTGGGTTTTGTTTTTAGTGATCTACAAGATCTGGCATCCAGGGTAGCGGGGTTCAGGCATCTAATCTCCTGAGGGACCCGCTCCACAACAGGGACGCACTGAAACAGCTCCCCAGGAGTTGCTGCTCCTCTTGACCTCGCACCCCGCTTCTCCACCAGCCTCTTGCTCTGGCCAAGGCAAAGGTGGTGAGGAAGAGACACAGGAGCTTCCCTCTGCCCTCCGACGGCCTCTCCGGCTGTCGATCTAGCAAGAGGTGCAGCAAGAACACCTAATTTTTTCTCAGGAAGAGCATCTTACAAGTAGCCCTTTAATTGCAAGGAGTTCTGTTCAGCCGACCAAACCCTGCAGCCTCAAGACGCCTGCGTTCCCCAGCACTAGCTAAGGGGGCTTGGCTTCTGTCAGGCTCTCTGCATCCTGAGGGAGATACAGGCTCCCCTGATCCCCCCAAAGTCAGTTGAGGGTGGTACTTTGGGACATCCTCCCGGGAGACACTCGCTGACGGTGCCACTTAAAGCTATTAACGGGGGGACAGTCTCTGAGCCAGAAGGAACCTGACCCCGATCCCATCTGCCCCATGGATGACTGTTCTCTGAGCAACTGACCCACCCTGCAGGGCTGTTCTGAGTCAGTGCACTGTGTTCAGCCCTGTGGAAGAGCATCTGATGACGAAGGGGAAGAATGACTTTCGATTTCTCCTCCGCCTACACTTTAGCAGAATACGGAAGGAGTAATTCTTAACATGCTCGGCCTTCACTGCTTTGCCTTCTTCCCGGCGTTCCTGCTAGTCCGAGTCGCTGCAGGGATTCCGTTGTAGCTCAGGGGACGTGGCCTCTGATGGCTCACAAGGTGAGCCAGCTGCAGCCCCAGCCAGCCAGCTGGGGAGCCAAGTCCGTCCTCTCCCTCCCAAGCCCTTGACAATGAGCAGGTTGTCGGCCTTGGGAATTGCAGCTTGCCTCCTACGTAACCCCGTGTTACCGCTCTGGTTTTGTTTTTTTAAATCTCTCTAGGACAGTTGCGACTTCCCTTGCTCTCTTCTTTCCAAGGAACCTCAGAGGCTGTTTTCTGTCTTCACGAAGGAGACCTTCCAAACTTCTTTCATTATGATCAAAATAACATTTTAATTCTCTGCAGCCTTGAAATGGAAATCTGTTTCCCTTACTGGGGTGTGTGGGTGTTTCTCTGAGTGACTCACTCTGGTTTGCTATTGTAGGCCTTCTCCTAGGTTTCGGATTGCCTGAAAATTAATGTGTTGCACACGTAGAAGGTGGAAGATTGGAAACAAGTACGATTTGGAAGCAAACAGGTCTCTCTCACACACTTTTCATGTCTCTTTCTTTGTGTCATGCACACTCACACTCAAACACAAACACTTGCCCTACAGCAGAAGCAGAAATAGGAGCTGCCCTTCTGGTCCTTAGACTGCTTTGCATCACTGTGGCTCAGTAGAGGGCAAAGCCGCATCCTGGCAGGTCTTGGTTCGGATAGTACCTGAGCCTTCCCCAGAAGTCAGGAGCCAGAGGGATGCAACTGGATGTCAGCCTCATCCCTGGGAAGATGTTGACCTCAGCCTTTGATTGGTCAAAGCAACAACCAGGAATTTGTTCGTGGGAATCACAGCTGCTCTTCAGCTTCTTGGAAGTTAGAGTGTTGAGCCCCAGGCCAAAAATCCAAATCTGGCTCTTTGGGAGTCTCCAGCATTTAGGTAGTTTTCCACCCATTGAGAAAAAGTTGGAATACCCCTTTTAAAGCTTAGCTACTAGCAGAATCCACTTCTTGAAACCTTGTTCTGTTTGCTTTTGGCCCACCTACCATAGGAATGCAGCTCCCAAAAGCTTCTCCAAAATTAAGTTCATCCCCATCCAACATCTCTGCATTAGAGGGTCTGGGGCTTTGACATAGCAAGCCATCTTCTACCCGGTCAGACTTCTTGTGTTCCACCCACCCCACTGCCTCAGCGAAACTGTCCGATTGGCAGAAGTCACAGGAAGTCTCAAGCGAAAGCTTTTCCATTACTTGCTGCCCCGATGCTTTAGTTAGAAATGCAGGCTATTGAACCGGGATTCTCTGCATGTATCACACTCATTCTGCTGTGCCTTTGCAGTCTCTCCCCTAACTGGGGGGGAGGGGGGGCAGGAAGCTTGTGGCTTTTATATTTACTATCAGTTGGATTCAAACTTACTTACAAAAGATAAATAACACAATAGAAAGATAACAGCTGAAAATGATATGTAGAATAATGACACAATAGCACTGAAACAATGCTTGCATTAAACTGAAAGCAGCGACCCATAAAAGCACCTGAACTTTGAACATTAAAAGGTTGTCACAGTAAAAACGTCTTTATTGCATTGAATGAGAAAGAGTCTGGCAGATCTTGGTACAACCAGTGGCTGGGAGACCAGCCACCTACCTACCTAGGACTGTGTCCTTCCCTACCAGAAGGAACACCTGTAAAAACTGAATTTGCTTTTGCTTGTTGTCTTGCTCCCATCCTCCCTCCCCATCCCCTTCTCCCATGTCTTGTCTTTGAGATTGTAAGGTTGAGGGCAGGTGCTGCTTTAATATTCCTCTCTGCAAGCTGCTCTGGGTAGATTTTTTGGCTGACGAGTGGGGTGGAAGTGTGGTAAATACGCTTCAGAGCACTTCAAGTACAGAAAAGGTGTGCAAGAGCAGCCTGTGGATTGGCCAGGCTGGATTTAAACGCCATGTCCACAGGACAGAACCTTCTTTCCGCTGCAAGACCTCACCTTGTCCACTTCCGATTCCAGGCTGGAGCACACGCCATCCCCGTTAAGATTCTGGTCTCACCATGTAGCTTGTTTTGGCCCATGTAATTTGTTTTGAAACATATTTCATCTGTTTTAGCTACCAAATAGGCACCAGCATCACTCTAGCTGGCAAAAATCATTTTTTGTGGATGTTGAGGTGCAGGGATATACACCTTCCTGTGTAAATGTTCAGGGCAGCTTACAACTAATTAAAACAATTAAAATTAAAGCAAAATTATTTTTATTTAGTTTAAATACATGAATTTAAATATTCATACAATTTAAAACAATACAATAAAGCTGTTGCTTAGTAGGTAGAAGCAGCTTAAAGGCGTCATCCATTGAACAAACTGATGAGACCATTCAAGTGCTTGTCAGAATGAAAACCGATAATGAAAAACTAGAAGAACGAGGGCAAAAAGGCATCCCGGGTGGAAGGGGGGCGGTTCCACAAGCTAGAAATGGCTACAAAGATCTTTTTCCACATCCATTCTCTCTTACTGTTCAGATGTGAAGATCTTAAAGAGCTTGTGCTGGATCAAAATGTTCCCATTATTGCATTTATATCTTGCCTTTCTGTAAGCAGTGGTTTACAGTAATTCAAAAGATAAGGATAATAAACAAATGCAAATATAAAAGCAAAAGCATAACAGTTTTAACAGCCAAATTAAAAGGCTGTGTCTTCATCCTTTGCGAAATGTGTAACTCAGAGGGAGTGTGTTCCAGACCTTAGGAGTACGATGGGAGAAAGCCCTTTCTCGTACGCTCAGCAAGCAAGCCTCTGCAAGCCTTCAGAAGGCCTCTCTTGTCTCAGGCAGATTCGCACTGAGATGGGCAGGTCATCTGGGACCTATAAAGGAGCGATGCTATATAACTAGCGTCCTTCTCTCTTTCCTCCACCACCTCCTCCTCCTCTTTCCAAGCTTGGCTAGCGGTTGTATTTCTCATCTGAAGATCCTGAATTTCATCGTTTTGGTCCTAGTTTTGAGAAACCAAATTTGGGTGGGAAGTGTGATTTGTCACACTTGCATGTTCCATTCTTATGCTGTATCTGGAATTCCTTTGGAGGTTATAGGCTGCTGCTCTTTTGCAGGGCTTAGTTTCTCCTGGTGCTGTTCCGGTTTAGGATGGACACACACATTCAAGGATGGGCAGAGCCTCGCCAGTCCCTTCCCCGCTGCATCTTTCTCACAAGCACTTGTGTTCCACTGCAGTGCGGGAAGCGTGTATCGGGAACAAGGCTGTTGTGCAAAAGGCACAGGGGCAGAAGTGAGGAACTTCATACAGGCACACGTGGAAAGCTGCCTTCTGTCGATCCTGGCAGGCGGTTGCTCCGCCTTACTTAGTACTGTTTGCTCTTGCTGGCAGTAGCGATAGATGTTCTCAGAGAGAACTCTTTCCCAGCCCTGCTGGCACCTGGAATCTTCTACCTGGAAACAGCCAGGTAGATGGGAACTCTTGGGCTCAAAGCAGATGCTCCTTTACTGAATGGCCCTCCCTCCCAGAAAAGGGGAAGGGTGGGGCCAGGAACATGTGAAAGAGTAAAGGAGGAGCAAACCAAGTGTTTCTCCCCCCCCCCCACATTTGTAATGGTCAGCTTCACTTACCCCCGTAACCTTGCTGCTCTTGTTTGTTTTTCAGCTTCTTTAGAGATGAATGAAAGTTCTCGCTGGACAGAGGAGGAAATGGAAACTGCTAAAAAAGGTGACACCATTGTTGTTTTGTTTTGTTTTGATGTCCTCTCTGTCTGGAGGAAGCGTGTTTGGCATTAGATCTATTCAGCACTCGCTTTAGTGATGCAGTCTGTCTTGGAATTTAAAGATCTCGGGCAACTCTAGAAATGCTTTGCACCCGTTCTGTGCACAACCGCTTGACTGCTCTCGCAGGGTGCGGAGTGCCGGAATGACGCTGCAGCCGGTTGCGTGTGCGGCCAGCCTGCATGTCGACTGCGGGGTTGCAGTCACCTGAGTGGAGTCAGGGTCACAACCAAGGACGCCATGGGTGAACTTTCTTCCTCTCCTCCTCTTCAGTGATCTCTCGCCCTTTTTATTTTTGGAGAGGGAAGGAACACTGCAGAGGACAGAAGCTGCTTGATTGCTCTGTTAAGATAGAACAGTTTTGACCTTCCAAGCGTTTTGGCCGATATTTGCAAAGGCACTGGAACTTAATGGGGAAAAATGAAAACCCGAAATATTGATTGTATGACTTTCCTTTGGTAAATAACTTTAAGAATGTTTTATTAGGGTTAAGGGTGTGCACCAGGGTAGGGTTAGGGTTAGCAAAACGAGGTGTCCTGGCATGATTTTGATGGTTGGAATGTGTTTAGAATGGGCAGAAATGACAAGCTGTACAGAAAAAGCTACTCCAGGAGGGCTTTTTCAAAATCACCTTCTTTTCAGTGGAACTTTTGCCCTGTATTAGGGGTGTTAGGGGTGGGCACCAGGGTAGGCTTGGGGCTTATATCTAACATCTGCTGTTTCAGACAGGCTTACAGAGGCTTCACTGCAGCAGCATTTTTGGCTATGGGACTGATAAGCCACTGATGTGCAGAAAAACCACCAAATATGGCATGGACATCTGAGTTTGGTTTTGCACAAATCTATATTTGCCGTTTTCTTGCTGGTTGCTTGTTCTTAAGGTTGGACAGGTTGTTGGTAATTCTTGTTGAAATCTCCAGGCAGAGAACTGGTGGCATGAGACCACCACTGATTTTGGCATCAGTGCTCTCTGTGGTCTTCCCCTGTGATACAGTATAAATTCAAACAGTTTCAAAAAGGCAGGTTAAAGAGTACAAAACGGGCCTGTCAGAATCTGAACGAGGCAGAGCGGTTTGCTTTTTGTCCGGCGCGTGCCAGGCAGGGATGCCTTGCCTGTTGTGTGGGTGTCGCCTGTTCCGTGACGTGCTTCCGTGATGTGCAGTCGCTCCTGCACAGTGAGCGGAGCCGAGCCGACTCAGCATCTTGGGGAGCAAGTCAGTCTGCAAGTGGGATGCTTGAACAAAGGAGGAGGGATTACGTATCGAAGGGGGAGACAAAAGAAGGAAGCACACTGTAATTAACATTAGGCAAGGAAATAGAACTCTGGCAAGAGGAGAGCGCTTACTTAATGGTACTTTTATTGTGGAATAAACCGTTGATTCAACAGGCTGTCAAAACATACAGCAGTGACTGTAATTATGGAGTATGGTACTTTCGTTGTAGGGCTTTTACCTTTCCTTTTCTTTTAGCCTCCTGGTCTTGGCTTGTTTAACTAGGAGCTGGATAAATAATTGGAAGAAGAGGTTTTGATTCATTCAACAGTTAGGATTCCCTTTTTCCTTACAACAGCTAAGGAGTGCCATCTTCTGCACAGTGTCCCTCTCCAGGTTGCCCTTAAGATCAGCATTGCCCTTTGTGGCAAGATTGGAGTTTAAAATCCATGTTGTGCAAAGCACAGCTTTTCCTGTGGCACTCGGGGATCCTTCTCGGCCTCATCCGAGTCGAAAGTCAGGCTACAGGTTGCGGTGGGAAGGGTGGCCATTGGAGCAGAGGTGCTCTTCAGCGCCTCCTTGTAAAGTGGCCAGAGAGTGGCACTGCAGCTTCCATCTTGGCAAGAGTCAGGTGACGTAGAGCCAGTAGAATCCCATTGGCTGCTTCGGTCTGAGGTTGGAGCCACTCTTGCTGAACCTGCTCCCGGGCTTTCCAGCATCACTGCTTGCCAGGAGAGGGAGCTCCTGGCCTTTTAATGGTGCCTGTCAGTGCCACTGCCGTCTGCTGAAACTGCAGGGCTATTAGAATCCCATCGGCACCTGTAACTGCGCGTGGAGGTGGGCATGGAGTGCCTGTGCCAGCGGCAGTGTCCCCCGTGGGCCATTTGACTGGTGACCCTTCGGGCAGCCGTGCTAACGCCACGGCCGATCATGGCAAACACCACCTCTCTCCATTTGACTGGGAATGCTGCCATGTTTCCCCCAGATAGAGGACTGTATTCCGTAAAGGTGGACACATGGCTACCCTAGTTGAAGCGCACCCCAGCACGGTCCTAGGAAGCCCCTGGGGCCCATGTGTCTGAGGAACCTGGGTGGATCAGTTCTCAATTACGGAATTCGTGCGTGAGCAGATTCCAGTTCCGGAAACAACCTACCATCCGGAAGTCGTGAAGGTCATGTATGAACCTGGAGGACTGGACTGCATAGCTTCTGAGCAAACCTGCAGTCCAGGTGCACCTGCCTTTTTCTCAGACGACCAGCAGGCAGCCGCAGTGTTGCCACGTGAACCAGGTCTTGGTGGCATTCTTGTTTACTATTTATTTATTATAGCATTTTTATGCCGCCCCCATCGCAGGAAGCCTCGGGGCGGCTTACAAAGCAGAACTCTTTACAGGCTGGCGTTCTGCCCTCCTCCTGGCGTGTTTCCGCACATTCTCGTTCAGAAGGCATTTCTTTAGCATCCTGAGTCATGCGTTGGAGGTGTGAGGGCAGGCGCGCCGCTTTGCTCTCAGGGCCTCTCCTAGTGCGTAGCTTTCCCTCCTGCACACTTGGCTGTCTGGCACAACGAGCTTCGTAGAGCTGAGTTGCCCGTTGTTGTTGTTTTGAATTCCATGGGAGAAGAATGCCAGGCTTGTGTTTAGCAAGTGTTGGAACGTGGAACGAAGAGTGAAGAAGTAGTTAGCGATTGCTGCAGTTTGATGTTTCCATCGTATGGTTTTAAGTTTGCACATTGTCATTTTTGTAGTGGGCCGTGCAGATGAACAGAGCCAGGCTAAGTCTTAGCGGCCGCCCTTTGTCCTGGCCCTGGTGCTTGCGGAGCGAGGGGGTCGGGGCTCTCAGGCTGTCGCCAAAAGCTTTCAGGACTGCATGTTCCTCTATAAACCAAAATAAGAAATAAAAAACCATCCACTCTCTTGGTGGTCCATGGTTAGGCCATACCCAGTCCAGTCTTTGTCTGCCAAGACTTTAAACCTGGGATGGTGTGTTTCTTTTCTTTTTCTTTTCTTCATTGATCAAACAATGCATCGACATCAGTGCTACCTCCATCAGGGCCAACAATTCTAATTACTTAATGCGAGGTCATTTATTCATTCAGGTTGCTGCACCTCTCTTCCAGAAACTTTAGAAACTTTTAGAAACTTTCTAAACTGCAGTGACTCTTGTGGTGGTTCCCACCCCTTTGCTTTTATTAAAACGCATTCAATAAAAGGTTTCCAAATATTTCCAAATTTATTTTCACTTGTCACACCTTTGGACAGGGTGTTTCTTTGGAGCTGCTGCACCCCAGCAATATCGCCTCCTCATCACTTGTAGCTGCGTCTTCCTCCTTTTTGTGGCCAAGTTTCCCACTGGCACAGAACTCACCGTTCACGAAACGCAGAATTGAATCAAATGCCTTGTGAATCTCACATTCTGCCAACAAAACCCCTGTGCCAGAGACACCAGCAGGAAAGTAAAGCACAAGTCATGTTCTGCTGTTGGACTCAGCAGCTAGCCATATTTATTTAGCACTTTAATATACCGTCTCATAGCCACATGGCTCTCTCGGTGGTATCGCCTCTTGCAAATTCCAGCTGATTGGCCTGCCCGCCTGTCAAGCATCTTGTGAGTCTGAGGAGTAGAAAGAGAGCTCCTGTTAGCATCCCCGCCACACCATGGAGGAGAAAGCTAATCTTGACCCTGCCATGGTGGTTTTCTAAATGTAGGGAGCTTGTGTAGAAGAGCAGGAGGAACTTCCAAATATGCAAATCGCCTCTTTGTTTTTACAGCAGGTGCTGGAAAATGATGTGTGTAGGATACCACACATGGCTCAGGAGACACATCAGTTCAAGACTAATTTTATTGCATTATTACATTTACATCCTGTCTTCTCTCCTTGCCCAAGGAACGCAAGGAGGTTTGATTATATGGTGGTCTTCCTCCTCTCCGTTTTATTCTCATAGTGTCCCTGTGAGGTCGGTTAGGCTGAGTCCATGACCGGCCCAAAGTCAGAGAGCGAGTTTCACAGCTGAGCAGAAACGTGAACCTGAGCCTCTCTGGTCTCGGTCCAGAACTCTGACCATTGCACTGTGCTGGCACCACACATATAAGTAGCACTTCTACTGATGTGCAGAGGTTGGGGAGGCTGGCGTGCTTCATCTCAGCAATCCACCTGTGCATAACAGCAGCCCCCCTCCCTTTTCCAGATTCAGCCCTCTAAGCCCTCTCCCAGTCTCCAAGAAGCTATCTGGGGCAGAATCCTAGCAGTCGGCCAGGACATGGGGCTAGGAATGCGATGAAAGCAAACAAAAATCCCCACACAAGCATATTTTAAATGAAAGCTCTTATTGCCAGTAACAAGACCTTATGAGAGAAGCATTTTAAGCTCAGTAAATTGTGGGCGGGGGGGGGCTGGGAGACCACCAGACAAAAGGGGGCTGGGCCAAGGAAAGGGGCAGAAGCCACTGGGGCAACCTCAGGAGCAAATGGGGGCCGCTTAGTGGATTTGTGCCAGATGTGAGGTTCCAGCGTACTTTCCGTGTTCTCACTCTTGGCAGCTGTATCGTACCAGTTGCAGGAAATGTGGACTGTGTGAAGCGGTGCTCAGGTTTCCACAGCTGCAGTGTGGCTGTGTCTCTCCACGCACATCCTGCTTCGGCCTCCTGGTCAAATTGACGTGTCCCCAAGTCTGGGGTCCCTCGGCCGCTGGGCCTCCAGTGCTCCCTGAAATACGGAGGGTTTTGACCCCCTCCCGCTC